TCATGAAAATGCTGTACAGCAGGTGCAGTGGTCAGAGGTCATGCTTTTGACCTGCTCTCATTGTTTACGTTTGTGTGATGTGTAATTTTGTTTGGTTGTCCTTCCCTATGTGAATCCTTCTGTGAATGCATGGGTTTGTCCTCTAGCGGTTGTGGGGCTGGATCTGGCAACGGACACTGGGATTTTCATACAGGCACATCTGATTAAAGATAACCACTTCAGTAAGCTGGCTGACACTTGGTGCTGATGAAGATGAAGGACTGTGGAGCTGAAGCATCATTTGTCTCCTGAGCTAATATGTGTTTAAAATATCTTGATGATATGGTGGGTGATTATACACACCCTTGTCAGATGTCACCAGAGCAGCTCATTCGGAAACTCACTAATCAGAATCTGCTTTATTGGCCAGATGTGTCGGAGCTGCAGATGCTGAAACACTTGCACCCTGTTGGAGCAGAATTTTCCATTGTCCAGAAGCTTGCAGGTTTACAGCTTTTGCTCTGACAGCTTTTGTTCCTTTATGAAAGCTGAGGTTCTTTCCTGCTACACCTGGACTCCTCTCAGCAGCAGCAGCAGGGTGGGGAGAGTCCCCAAGGCCCGAACGGAAGGACGGCACTCAGAAAACCTGGGGTGAAAAATTGTACATGATTAGCTTTTAAGGTAAATAACTTGACTACTTCCTGCACTGAACACAAAATACTTGAACCTCTGAAATGTGCACATGGTTTAGTCCAGTCTGCAGTACACAGTTGGTCTCCAAGGCATATCTTTACTGAACTTTGAAGATTTTATTTACTTATTTTATCTAGTTTATTTGTGCAATATCAACAGAAGATATGTCAGATAAGATCTGACAAATCAATATACCAGATTGTGTTCATACAGTCAACAGAGGGAGCAGTGTTCAGCTCTGTGCACAGCCACCAGGTGGCAGCAGAACCTTCATCATCACCAGCTACATAAATGTTGTTTTCATGTCTCTGTGTTGTGGTAACAGAGGCACTGCCAGTGACAGGAGGCCGACCAGTAGGATTAGTTAAAAGCTGCTGCTATACAAGGTCTGGCTGCTGATTCAGAGAGGAGGGCTCAGGAGGAGAGAAGCAGGAGGAGAACAGAGACCAGACTTGTGTTAGTCCAAAGCAAGTGATGATGAAAGATGTCCCAGAGGGACTTTAGTGCCCATAGTTATGAAACCACAGATGACATGTGATCTTTGCCTGTTTTCTCAGGTGTAAATGTACTTATGAACAGTTTTATTGATCTTGATAGACACAGTGCTAATGCTTTGACTTCTGATCAGCGATCGAGTGTGTCTGTGTTTGTTTAGTTTTAGTGCTCGTGACTGGTAACTGAGTAGATGAAGGGTTGTGTGTTGGGTGTGTGGGTGCAGACAAAGAGGGGGGTGGTTCTGGGCCGCTGGAACACACTGTTGAGCCTTCTTGGTGTCGTGGGCCCAACTCAACAAATCACCCGTTAGTGAGAGGGCGCCCAGCTGGTGACCCTGTAGACCTGCCTTCACTCCTGCACCCACACAGAACTTGTGTTGGTGTTGGTGATAATAGTTATTGACTCACTGGAATTGCTAATAGTCTTCTTCTCTTAGTCTTGGTAGAACAGTATCAGTGGTTGAACAGCCGAGCAGACCTGGCTCTCAGAAGTGACTGCCACTACAAGCTGGACCAGCCGCTGCTTGACCTGAGCAAACACATTGCAGATGCTGTGTGTTAAGCCACATATCTGCTCTTTGTTTGGGTGAGGACAGGGTTCAGGGTGCTTTCTGTTAAGGGTAGATTAGGTCTGGAAAATGGTGTTGCTTGTTGTGGGGCTCTGAAGGTTTATGACGGCATGGCCTGACACCCCCTCTCTGGGGCCAAGTAATGGGTAAACATTGTTTAACTTGTATACTTGTGTATTTATTGTGTGTCTGTTGTGAGGTGTCTGATTCAGTTCTGATTTTTGTTGTTTGCATATGGGCAGTGAAACTAGTTTCTCTGGTGGGATGCTCTCCTGGGTGTCTGCAAGACTTCATTGAATTCAAGCCTTAAAAGGTTTTTAAAAGTCTTAAATTTTATGTAGAAAGGTCTGAAATAAGGATAATCACCTTTATTGGCCAAGTATGTCACACACAAGGAATTTGTTTTCGGTACAGAACCGATGGCAGCTATCTGTGGCGTCAATTCAACTGATGGCTCTAACCATCGGGGGCAATAGCGGGGTTCAGCGTTTTGCCCAAGGACACTTTGACAGCCAACACTGAGATTAGAACCTTCAACCTTGGAGATGACTGCTCTACCCACCACACCACTCTCGCCTCCCCATATGTGTTAAAGAGAGTGCAAACATCTTCTGTACAACAGTGCATTTTAATTTAGTTTCTTCACATGAGAAAAGTCTCCAGTTTACCCTCAAAAAATGTGAAGCCATGGAGCACAGAGCATCACTGGGACCAGTGCCAGTTTGTCCAGAATGACATCTGAAGAAGGAAGAAGAGAAAACCATTAGCTCTGTGCCCATGTTAATGATTGTCACCTGCTGTTTTAATGGCACAGGTGACCCGTTATACACGTCAGGTCTCTGATTCTGATGTTTTACAGACTGCATTTGATGTGCAGCCTTGGCAGAGTATTCACACTATAAAGCAGCAAAATATTTTGAACTGAAAATACTATTGAAAAGTTATGAAGACAAATTAAAAGCTGATTTAAAATGCTTCCCAGCGTGTCCTCTAGTCACCTGACTTTTTCTGCACACCTGTCATTCACTCCCTCACTGGGGCTCACTTTACTGGTTTCTCAATGTCCACCAGTTTAAAAACCAGCCCAGTTAGGCTGCGTCCACATCTCAGGCCTTATTGCTCAGTTCTGATGTTCCAGTCACATCTGATTTTCGTGTGTACCATCAGTGACGTGTCTTGCTCCGGTGTGGAAGCCGCTGAGCGACATCAAAATCATCAGATCTGAGTCACTCGGAGGGAAGAAAATCAGTTGGGAAACTTCAGCTATGATGTGAACATGGCCTGGTTCTCTGTCAGGTTGATGGTACGTGTGTTTTCAGCCACCAGTACACAAAACATCGCAGTGTAAACATGAAATCTCTAAACGTCAAACTATCACCAACTGTTTTTCCTGTTGTGTTTGGTGTAAAAGCCTCGTCACTTCAGGTGGAGAGGTGAAAACCTTGCTCACATGAACTCATGAAACCGACAGATGTTATACCTCCATCATATTTTCCACATTCCTTCATCCTCATCTTCTTCTGCAGTGGTTCAGTGGATCAAGAATTAAAACTAAAAACACCTCCTGCAGTCCCAGCACTCTCCACACACAAAGTGCAGCCATGTTTAATATTGCTAAAGCCAGAGTGATGATGTGTGGTGATGTTGCAGAAACAAAACATTAAAAAGCTTTTTACAGTGAAATAAAACACAAGGAGCTTTTTCAAGTGCATAAAATGTGATCAGCATGGACACAGACATGTACATGACAGAGCTGAGGAGGTTTCTGTTATGAGAACTCTGCCTTTAGTGTGTGTTTGTGCTTTGTAAGTTTTAAACTCACTTATGTTCATAATAATAATATACTAAACTGTCAAGTAAAGTGACAGGAAAGGCATTTCAAATATACAGCAGTTGCTCAGACAATGTACTCGTTCCTGAATAGTCTGACATTTAGTGAGATTTACTTGAACACTTTCTCCAGATGCTTCAGGTGGCAATCAGCACATAGATAGTTCCAGGAGATCTTTAGCCTAGCTTAGTACAAGGAAAAATGAGTTGCATTCAACCCGGTGTACTTCCAATAAAGGTGACTCCTGTGGCTCTGTGGTTGTGCTTACTTTGCCCTCACCATCTCTGGTAGAGAACTGAGGAAATGAGGACAAAATGACACATACATTGTGAGTGGTGTGAGGCTCCTGCAGCTTTTCAAACACCTAAGTAAACAGGAAGTAGCCGTCAAACAGCCGTTATGGCCAACTGCAGAGGGATCTACATTCAGCTATTTTAAGTCTTGACTGAAAGCTTAGGAACAGCTACTAAATGAACCGGTGGTGAAAAAGTTTTCTAAACTACTGTTTCCAAGGTCTAGAATGAACTTTGAATCTTGGCTATTTTGAATGAGTTTTGTTCATGAGATTAGAGCTTTTTAATGGTTAAAAAACCAAGTCATTCAAAATATTTGTACTTTTTTTCTAAAAGGGCCTTAAGTTTTCAGCTAAGGTAAAAATTCAGGGATGGATTTAATGCCACGAGTATATTCACAAAACCCATAAATGCAAAACTCTCAAAATAACTCCTACTACTCTTTTAAACATAGTGCCAACTAAACCCAGACGATTCCTAGAGAGAAACCCAGCATGTACTGTAAGCTAGATAGACCTGCAGTTGTATGATGAAGCTAGACTAACCATTTCCCCCTGCTCCCAGTGTTTGTGCTAAGCTAGGCTAAACACACCCAGCATCTATCTTTGTTTTGGACACAGAGATGAAGCCGCAACATCCATCTTTAGCATCTGACTCTGGAGACTAACAAGAGGATTTCCAAATATGTTGGAATGCTCCTTTAAATCATATGTACAGTTCCCACAGATCCACACTTCTACTGCTGGTCTATCAGCAGCCACGTGTTGATGCTAACAGCTGTTTTATCCAGCGATTCTGGCAAAAATCATGGAAGCTTCCTGATGTGCTAACATGAGTGTCTGCTGTTTCCGCTGCAGTCTGTCAGCTCACCAGAGCACCTGCTGCAAACAGTCTGTAGGATGAAGAGTCGTCTTGTACATAGGCATTTGTCTGTGACAGCAGACTACCTACAGTAGTAACCTTCTCTTCCTTCCAGCATTAAAAGGTAGCATAGCTGTAGAGCATCATTAGCTCTCCATCTATTTGTGGGTGATAGGTTTTGTTTTAGGGTAAGATTATTTCTGATTAAGATGAACTCTGTCCTGTTGTTGAATGGACTGAACCTGCAGCAAGAGTTGTGATTTCAAGCAACAAATCACTGGTCTTCAGCTGGAAATTAGAAGCCATTGTTTGAAAAATGTCTTCAGGTTGCACAAGAGCTCTGCATCAGCAGATCCCAATGTTTCCTGAATAATTTGTTTCAGGTTAGGCTAGTTTTGTCTCATTGTCTTTATGTCAAGCTTGGCACTCTGGGTTCATATTTGTGTATTCTAAAATATATAAAGTGGCCAGTGGGAAGAGAGTAGAGTGTAACTAATGGATGAGCCATCGGCCCTGTGAGCTAACAGTCTGCACTGTAATGGATGAAATAAAGCAAAAAATGTAGTTTTCAGGTTGAGTCTGGATCTGAAATTTGGTGGTACCAGTTGGAGTGGGTGTGAAAGAAGCATTCTTAAATAAGAAAAATGTACTTTCTCAATGAATATGGTGTGACAGGTTGTTGAGTAAGTAAAGGTTGATGATTCACAATAAAACCAGTGAAGCATTTCTTCATCATAAGTTAGTGATGTTAATGGAGACAGTAGTTAGTTGGCTGTATATATTTATTTAAAAGTACTCTGGAGCCACAAACACAATCCAGTTCAGGGCCACGAGGAGCCTGAGGCCCTGGTATAAATATTCCAGTTTTCGTAATGAGTCTCATAATTTTATTTGTCTGGGCTTCAGTGTTGAAACAGGTGGAGGAGGAGAGCTACAAAAGAAGAAGACCTCTGTTATTGGGAGTCGAGCTAAAGATGGGAGGGGGAGTCTCTATGGGACTCATTAGTAAACTCCCCCTTCCTGCTCCTCTGTTTCCACATCCCTACAGCAAGTCCTCTGCTGCTGCATACTCTACATGACGCTGCACTTCCCCTTCAGCTTGTCGGCTCGCTTCTGTTTTCCTGAGCGTTTGCCGTCGATGCTCAGGCTCATGTCCCTCTTCTTCTCCAGGGCCAGCAGTTTCTGGAACAATTCCTTCACATTGGAGTTCATCTTGGCCGATGTCTCCATGAAGGCACACTTCCAGATGGTGGCCTGAGCTTCGCCTTCCTTCGTTTCCACTTCACGCTGGGCCATCTCATCACTCTTGTTGCCCACGAGCATGATTGGAATGGACTCTACACTGCCTTTGATGGCAAGAACCTAGAGGAACATGGGATCAAGTCAGTCAGGATGGTATCTCTGAGTACAAGTTGTATTATTGTTTTTATTCATCTAAAAAGTACTTTCTAAGATTCAGTCTGTGATGTGGAGTTCCCCAAGGCTCCATCCTCAGATCTCCCCTGTTCTACATGGTCCCACTACCTCAGATGAAAACTACAAATCCTAATGATCTCAGTGAGGTTTCCAGACTAAAATAAACAGAATCATACCTCCTCCTCTGTTGTACTGTAGGAAGAAATTGTTACACAAAACAACAATAATCTTTAGGGCACACAGAGTGCCATATCATACAACTCCAAATTGGAAAAAGGTGAGACGGTGTATAGAATCAAAATTAAAATTGAAAACAGTGATGTGTAAATCATCTGTGTCCTGTATCACATTGAAAAAACTCCAGCAGCACATTATTTGATGTGAAACCTCATCAATTTTATTCTTTGTTCAAAATAAACACTCACTTCATTTCTGATGCTACAGCATGTTTCAAAAAAGTTGGGGCAGTTGCATTTCAGGGCCAGTAATGAGGTAAACCAATGAAATGATGATTCCATTTGAAATAGTTAACAAGTGACTGCAATCATGACTCAGTACAACAGTGGCGTCCGGGAAAGGCGAAGCCCTTTGGAAGCAAAGATGGACTGAGGACCGCCAGTGTGAGAAAATTATTAAAATGTTTAAAAGCAATGTTCCTCAAAGAAAGACTGGAAGGGATTTGGTTCTGTCGCCTGGAGGGATTTCAGTACAAGGGCTGAGCCTAAGCTGGATGACCGAGTTCTCCAATCCCTCAGACCGCACCGCATCAAGAATCGTTACTCTTCTATCAGCGATATAACCACATGGGCTCAGGACGCATTGGCTCACCTGTGTCAGCTACTACAATACGTAGTTACATCCATAAATGCTGCTTAAAACTGTGCTGTGTCCAAAGGAAGCCCTATGTCAACAGTGTCCAGAGGTCGACTGCCCTGGACTCAGAGGCATCTGGGATGGACCATCACACAGTGGAAAGGTGCACTGTGGTCAATCAGCATCTGGCCAATCAGTGCTTCAGGTCTTTTTTGGAAGGAATGGATGCCGTGTGCTGTGGACCAAAGAGGAAAAGGACCATCCAGACTGTTAGCAGCAACAGGTCCAAAAGCCAGGGTCTGTCATGGTCTGGGGTTGTGTCATTGCCCTTGGCAAAGAAGAATCTTTATTTTATTGTCATTGTAACATTGTGACACGTACAACAAAATTCTTTGTTTGGAGCTGAGGGGCCCCGGGCCACTGTGTGCCATCATGGGCAACTTGGGCGGTTCAGTGTCTTGCCCAAGGACACTTTGACATGTGGACTGCAGGCATCGAGAGTCGAACCTTCAACGTCCAGTTGGGAGACCACTGTTCTACCCACCCCACCACTGTTGACCCCCCAAAGGTCACTGGCACTTCTCTGACAGCTCCATTAATCCTGAAAAACACACAGAGATATTGGAGCAACATGTGCTGCCTTCAAGACAAGAATCTTTATTTTATTGTCATTGTAACATTGTGACACGTACAACAAAATTTTGTTTGGAGCCAAGGGCCCTGGGCCGCTGCGTGCATACGCGCTGCCTTCACGAGCAACTTGGGGGGTTCAGTGTCTTGCCCAAAGACACTTCGACATGTGGACTGCAGGCACCGAGACGCAAAACCTCAACCTTATGGCGCATTTTGAAATACAAACTGGGTCAACGAAGACCTAGGACTGTCACACCTTAAGACTTGTTTGCAGGAAGAATGGGACAAAATGACACCTGACTCACTTGATCACTTGGTGTCCTCAGTCCCTAAATGTCTTTAAGTGCTGTGTAAAGGAACGGCAGCATCACACAGTGGTAAACGCTTTACTATGTAAATGCAGCACTGTTTTCAGTTTTAATTTAGATTTTGCATAATGTCCCAAATTTTTCTGATTTGTGGTTGTACAACAAAGGCTAATAACTGAGCCTATGGGCTGCCTGTCATCTAGAAGCTAAACTCAGACCTGTTGGTAGATGGGTTTGAGCTCCTCCAGCGATTGGCGGCTGGTGATGGAGTAGACCAGGATGAAGGCGTGGCCTTTGGAAATGGACAGCCGCTGCATGGCGGGAAACTGGTGACTACCTGTTGTGTCAGTGATCTGCAGCGTGCAGACACTCTTATCACAGCTGATCACCTGCAGAGATGCCACAGAGACCACAATTACCATCAATAATTCAACCAGTTCATGAGTTTTAATTAAAACTCTTTTAAATTCCAATCAGGTGAGAAGTTCAGAAAGATGAACAAGTGTTTAACAACAACAGTTTTGCTCCACCTTTTCAGCCCAGAAGCTCTAGTAACACTCAAACTGACATCATAAACCACTCCTTACTTTGCCCCCCATCTTGTTTCCTGAAGCTCTGACATGAACTACAGATGCCTGGTTGGGACAAACTGTCCAAAATGCAGTCTCCAGTCTGAAGCTAGTGTTAGCTGGCTAACAGTAAACTTGTCAGTCCAGTAGAATGCTCTGGTTCCTGGTGATGTGACACAAAACACTGACATTACACAAAGCTCCAGTTCCTCCCAAATAGCTGGTTTCCAGTGTCTCAGTGAGGTTCTGGAAGCTGTAATTATCACCACCATAATCACAAGAAAAGGACTTGTTGATGCACTTGGTATTTGAGTTTTGTCTCCTAATAACACATCCAGAAGGAAGAACACCACATCTGAATCCAGTCTGAGCCCTCTGGCTGCTTTTAACCCTCTCCATGTCAAACAGCCAAACCCATGTTAACCCTGGTTGTTGCTCTTTCTTTGTTCCACTCTCTCTGTGCAAAAGACGCCACCTCTTCACTCTGGCAGCTGCTGGTTCAGACTTTTAGCCGGCCACAGCTCCTCCATGGCTGTTTGACATGACCCTTCTTCTAACCTTGCCTCGGTGGCAGGCGGGGCTCATTTACAGACCAAAGACAAAAAAAAAACAAAAACTAATATTTGACCAATATTTTAATTAATAGAAATCTGAGTTAATGCAACATTAAAGTGCCTGAGCTTGCATCCTACCTGTCTGTAGGTGTCCTCTACAGTAGGGATGTAGGTGTCTCTAAAGGTGCCTTTAACAAACCGAAGGACCAGTGAGCTCTTCCCCACTCCGCCGGCTCCAAACACCACTACTCGGTAGTCGTTACTTTGCTCGGGCATTGTGGGAGTTGGAGTTCACCTGCTGCTGATAAATAACCTGTTCACTGGGGAAGATATAAGAAGGGAAAAAATAGCAGAAATTAAACAGAAATCATTAAATGTGACACTGTGAAAGATATTCTGTCATCCTGCAATTATTTTTCAGAGCATGCTAGCTTCCGTGTCTTCACACCTCAAGTGTTAGCATTACAAGCACTGTTTGTAAACAAACAGCAGACTGCGGGTGTGAGGGGGGAGCAGCCCCTCTCTTCTCTAAACAGAGACCGACCGAGAGAAAACACAGTGTAGAAACAAAGCTGGACAGTCGGCATCAGCCCTGGAGGCTACGCACAGTGATACGAGGTGCACCGCTGGTTAGGTTCCCGTAGTGGAAACGCAGCAAAAGTCTGTTTCCACTCCACTTTACCACATTTAATTTTTATCGATAGGGCAACTTTTCCACTTTTGCTAAGTGCAAATACTTTGCAATATTTCAAGAATTTTTTAAAAATCTGCAGTGTTTCCACAAACTGACAATAAAAACTGCTGGGTGGAGACCCACCTCATGTGAACAGCCCTAAATGGGTTCTCCCAGCTATCGACCAGAACTGAACAGACATTTCTGGTGAAAGGTCTTCAGCTTTTTGGATGCTTTCCTCAGGAGGACAGAAACACTGCAAGGAGACCCTGCCGCTGAATGTGTCCATCATCACCGCTCCATATCTCGACTGCAGTTAGTGACTGATCAGTAGTTCACAATAACACACCTGGCTCCTGGCAGCAGCCATTGTGTAGCCACAGGAGCATCTGAAAGTACATGCAGTGTGTGAGAGTCGTCTGGTTGCCAGGGCAACACAGGCACACAGCAGGGATTTATACACTCAGAGTGCAAACATATCATCATCGGCAGGGCAGTTGCCATGGTTACCCGCCTCCCCACATCATTTGACGTCACTTCCTGTGCGGAGGTGTGCAGCAGGGAAAACACCACTGACTGAGCAGCAGCATGAAAAGTACCAAAATAAACCTGCTCTCATCACAGACACACAAGGAAGGATGGCACGATAAGTGACCAGAGTCGGTTTAAGAAAAGTCATGTGGACCATCGTCGATTGTTACCATCTTCACAGTCCTGCCCTGTACAAGATTAGGCAAGACCTACTTTAACAAGAAAGGCTGAAAAACACTGAGACGAACCTGCAGTGAAGCCAGGAAAGTGACAGGACGCAGTAACACTGAGCTTTGAGTTCAGTGATTTCCTTCTAGTTTTAAAGATAGTTCATAGTGAGATGTAACTGTTGTGTGAAAATGCTCATCTGACATAGGAAAACCAAACTCCACACCGACACAGAGGCCTGTCGCTGAACCAGTGTGGCGACAGGAGACCCCATTGCTGTTGTAATGACTGGCACAGGGTGGTGCTGCTGTTAGTTATGGTGTCCCCACCACCATGGACGTACACACAGCTGTCACTGGATCAATGTGTCACTGAAGGAAACCTAAACACAGGATCTCAGGCAGGTTCTACAGCCTCCGCTCCTCTGGTTTCTCACTGGCTTTATGGAGATTTGTCACACTGAATCAGATCAACATGTGTTTCATGTCTGTCAGTTCACATCTCACTGAGTTAGGAATGATTTTGAGTCTCTTCCACTTCAACCAGTATCTCTGCCTCTCCTTCAGCCCTTCTCCCTGGGGAGACTTTTCTCTTTGTCCTGCTGAGTGTCCAGGTCTGTCCCAGACCACATCCTGTCATTTCACCAGGGTTAAAATGTCGTCCTGAACCATGAGTTACATTACCGAGAAGCACAGTGAAGATTTTACTGCCCCCACAGCCATTTATTGGAAACAGATGGCCTCCCATGTTCTCCCCTGTGCAGCGGTGTGGCTCACTGGGGGGGGTTAATAGTTGGTGGACAGCAGTGGAGGTCTACGACACCGAGTGATGAGCTGGACCAGGGTCTGGACTCGCACACATTATGGTGAGGACACCACATTCACTGGTGCTGCTGGTCTCTGGACAGGGGAATGACACAGACGTACAAACTCACCGGCTACATCCTTCAGATATGTCCACACATGCAGAAAGACATGCGCGCACACAGAGCAGTTTTGTCTCCAGCTCTGACAAAGACTCCCAGTGGACCTGCAGCCTCCCAGCACAGTGGTTTCTTCCAGTGTAACAACAAGCTGCAGCTTCACACATTGTTCTCACTCTCCACTCAACAGCTCCATGCTGCATTCTCCTCCTCCTCCTCTTCACCTTCTTGACTCTGTCAGGGTTTTGTTCTGCATGTTCCACATCAGGTCACAATGACACTGTCAAGCGCACAGAGACACAGAGCAGAGCCACTGATGGTGTAAAACCATTTACTGGCATTTATTTATCTTCAACTCTGGTTGTATAGAAATCATTAAATGCCTCGTTTCCTCCAATAGATTGTATTTGCCGTTGTCCTGTATCTCTTTTATAACTCAGGCCCTTTCTGTATAGAGTTCTCCCTGTGCCTGTGTGGGTTCTCCAGCTTCCTCCCACAGTCCAGAGACATGCAGCTTAGGTTGACGGGTGACTCTAAATTCCCAGTAGGAGTGAGTGTGCAGCTGTTTGTCTACATGTCAGCCCTTTGACAGACTGGAGACCTGTCCAGGGTGGACCCTGCCTCTCGCCCAGTGTGAACTGGGACTGGCTCCAGCCAAACTCGGTCAAAACGTCACATACTAATGTCACATTGTACTGAACAGCTGCACAAAACGTCATTCATTCATCTCTCTAATCATTTAACTCATGTCCAGATTAAACAACCAGTCAGTGCATCAGTGTCATAAATAGAACCTTCTTTATCTTTACTTCAGGCTGCCTTACCTCTTTTGACAACCACGATATTTGTGTGTTCTAAAGTCAAAATTGCATTTTAAATGTAATGTACTCCGAGTGCTCCACAGTGTGTTTTATGTCACACTTTGGTTTGGAATAATATTAGCCTATTATAATATTTCTATATATGTATGAAAGAGTAAAATTCTCATGTTGACTTTTCTTCTAATGATCCCGTTACAATACACAGACTGTGTGTGCGCTGTAGTAGAGTATTACTACAGTATTGTTGTGGTGACAGCGTTCCTATGAGGTGTAGCTGCAGATAAACACAGTACTCCCACTGTACCTCCTGTACTTTAATATGCACTTGTTCTAATAATCCTGGTGTCTCGAACCCTTTTAGTGATGATGATGTCTGTCGTGCACGCTGGCGTCATGACAGACAGACTTCTCCATCCAACTCGCGCACACACGCACACGCACTGCGCTGACCTGCTGCTTTGTTCTCGCGTTCACTGAGCTGCGGCTCCGGGCTCATCATGTCCTCGCATCGTGTTAATCACTGCCATCGACAGAAAACTCGGCCCAGGCACGCGCGCATACAAAGCTTTGATGAACGTGCAGAATCACGCGCGCGCACATGCACACAGTGATGCAAGCAGAGCCCCGGCAGCTCCGAGCCGGTCGGTAGAAGCAGACCGGAGCGCTGCCGCCCGGCTGCAGCCCGCGCTCTCCCCGCTGCCGGTGTGTGTAGCGGACTCACCGTGGCTCTGCGGATCCTCGGTCTCTGTGTGTGCGGGCTTTGTCTACTCCGGCGGCTGTGAGCATCCTGAACCCTCCGCTCTCTGACTCACATCATCATCATCACACCTTCTGCCGACCAGCGCACATCGGACCTCCTCCTCCTCCTCCTCTTCCTCCCTCCATCACCATCTCCTCCCTCCTCCGCTACGAAAACACACTGAACAAGTAACAAGGCTTCCGCTCGGGTTATTCGCCTTATTTTCGCAATAAAAGCCCCAGAAGCCCACAGAACTCCCAAAAAAATCCTTGCACATGTGAATCTGGATCCCTAGGACCATTATGTAGAAAGAGATTCAGTTATTATTTGTCGAATTTGACCTCGATCTAGTTCTAAGTTAGGTCTAGAAAAAGGTTGGCTAGGGAGAATGAGTCTGTCTCAATGACCCTCCCCACTTTGTCAAACATCTGCACACTTTGGACTGGGGGGGCTGGGGGAAGGCACGGGTCAACGCTGGTCACTCGGGTTCCTGTGCACTGTCCGAGACCCAGAGTAGATAAATGTTATTCTGATTTGGGGTTAAATAACGTCTGTGTCATGATGGTTTTGTTTGAGCTGGTTAAGGTCATTAAACCTTTAGGTTAGTAGGAAACCTCAGATTTGGCAGTAATCCGAATTGGCTAAGGTTAGGCACATGTCCTTAAATGGTTAACCCTTTCCCCATTGTAGACTGATGCATGACATTTGTGTATTTTTGACTAACAGGGGATCCCAAGAGTTTTGTGTGTGTGTGTGTGTGTGTGTGAATCTGTAAGCACACAGTGAGCTGCAGGATTCATTTGAAGACGGGGGAATCTGACAGAATGCCCATTGGAGTCCTTCACTTCTGTGAGTGCCTCCCCCATCTTCTTCAGGTGAGTCCTGTAGCTCACTGGCAGGTAAAGGCTTCATTGCCATTTCTAAAACCTCTTCTGCACTGAAATGTCTCATCATTTTTGCTTCCTCTCTTTGCTCCAGGTCTTTGTCCTTCTCTGCTAATGAAATGACACCTCAGCCAAGATGTTTGTTCATCTTTGGCTGTGAAGGCAGTCAGGTGCATATACACACTAACAGTTGTTATTCATTTTGTTTTTGAGTACAGCAAAGGCCGGAGGTCATGATTTACTCAAGCACCTCTTCAAAGACACATGGAACAATCCCTCAAAACACACCCTTTTTTGAGCCCTGAAATGATCAGTGTGTGCTTACAGATTCACACACACTCTCACTCGCCCACTCACTCACTCATCCACCTACCCACACACACACACACACACACACACACACACAAAACTCTTGGGGTCCCCTGGTAGTCACATGACTCCATTATATGGCAAAAATACACAAATTTCATGCATCAGCCTACAATGAGGAAATGGTTGAATCTGGTGAATTAGAACAAAAATGTCAAATACCACTACTTTTCTTCAAAATGAAATGCTACCATTACAGAATGCATGGTTTTATACTGTAGTGGGAGTGAGATAACAAAATGTGGTTTCAATGGAAGTCAATGGTGCATTTTTGGCCACGAATGTGTCAGGAGGGAATATCTGGCACTACATAAAAAATACTAAAGCAATCAAATCAATTTTGTTGCTAGTCTTTGACATATCCAAGACTCTACTCACCACCAAAACCCCATCCTCCTTCTACTATTTATTATATGGAAAATAACTCATTTTTGGTGGATTTATGAAATATATATTTAATAATTCAAATGAATGACTGGCATTTAAAGGGTAAAATCATAAGAATGAGTGAATGTTTTGTAGTTTTGAAATAAAAATATGAAAAATGAATATTCATATTTTGTATATTTTTGGCACGAATGCGAAAAGAGGGTAGTACAATTAGGTAGGGCACAAGGGTTAAGGTTGAGGGTTAGGGGTCAGGACTGTTTCCCTTTTATTTTGAAAGCTAGGCGGAAGTCTTGTTTTCAGCTTCCAGCCCATCGTTATCTCAGCATCCTCCTCCAAAGTAAAAATACATTTTCCTTCCATCAGCGTCACTCAGACGCGTCATCAACATAAAAAATAGAATAGGCTGAAAACACATAATAAGAAATGACTACAACCATTAGTTCTTTTAGACACTGATGCCTGCCTACAGGCTGCTGTAGTCCTGGCAGTTACTGGGTTTAAATGTCTACAGGATTAGTTTTAATCATTCAGAATAGCACTATGTGATGGTGTCATTTGAATGAAATGCCAGTTACCCCAACCCTACTGGTTACTGGTAGCTGCTCATAACACTGATGAAGTATTAGAAAAGGTTGTTGTCGTTAGATTATTTCATTTCTAATGTGGAAACCAACATCAGGTTGGAAATCCACCCCACCAGGCCACACCGACTGTTTTGTTCTGACTTGATTTCACCTGTTGGGTTAGAAATCCCTTTTCAAGGGGTCTTGCCTGACCTGGTCACCCGCAGACCCCTCACACCTGCACATAACCTGTGTGCAGTGGTCCCACTGCTTTCAGCTCTGTGTAGTTATGCCCTGCCAGCTCCATGAACCTGCTTGAAAACAAAGTTTTGATCGATTCATATGAAACAACTAAAAGTAACTTATCATTATATTTAACTTAAACTTGCTCAACCTACTTACACACAACAGTTTAGCAGTTTGATGCTTATATTCCACACATTTATAATTTCAAATTTTTGTCCTTTACAGTTCATCTTGATTCTTATTCTGCCGTCTGTTGTACACCAGTCTTTTAGCACAGCCACACAGATTTCACTGCACCAACTGTAGGAGTCAAGTACATTTGATATGCAACAAGATCAGCATTTTAATTTTATGCAAACACGAGATTAACAAAACAGCACATCCCATAGTGAAACGGATCTGATTAGATTCTATTCAGTTTCCCTGAGAGCAGAGTGATGACAGTTTCCAGTGACACCCTGTTCACACAGTGCCCAGTACAACCAGTCTGCTCCTCATCTTATGTAATGGACAGCTGGCAACTCAGGGCAGTGACTGATCAATAGCTGATTGATTACTGACATATGACGCAGTGGGAAAACAAAGGTGTGGGTGATGATAATCTGAAATGGTGACATGTAGCAGAAATGCCTCCATCCTCTGTGAGCGCCGCTGAACACAAACAGTGTCCTGTGGCTCTCTCTGGTGGAAATGTGGAGAACCGCAGACAGGAGACGCCTCCCAGCAAATAAATAGACTGGGAAACAAAGCTATGCCCCTGGCAGATGCACCGCCCGGATCTACACCCATTGTTATGTTGCTGAGCACAAACTCCACATATGAACAGTGTGTGTTCAGTGGGTTGTAAAGAAAAATAGGACAACATGAAGAAAGGGGTGGTGGAGCAGCCTCAGCAGCCTCGCTCTCTCTCTAATGAGAAGAACCTCATTACTGGGTCCAGCTGAGGAGACACTGGACCAGAACTCAGGGCCCCTGAAATCCACCTGCACCCCGTGCTTGGAGAGCTGACCCTGAAACCCTGAGCCTGCAGACAGCCAGTCAGCTGGCTTAACAAAACTGTTACCGAGACACAACATAGCAGAGAATGGAGACGACATCGCCATGGCTGTGCTGTTTGTGTCACTGTCTCTGTCAGTCTGGTATCTCAGTGTGGGAGGGGTGGGGGCCTTATGCAGGTCTGAGCCCAGGGGCCCATTGTGCCGTGATCCGGCCATGCCTGGGCCCTGAGGAGGTCGGATGTTAAGCCCAGACCTGTTTACTAAACGAACAGCACTGCTGAAATAATTGGTTGTTGTGCCTGAGGAGGAGCTTATTTTCACCGCTGTCGTCTGGTTGTAGTTTAATCAAGTGGTGTAAATAAATAAATAAATAAATCTCTCTCCCACCCTCCCTCCTCCTCCTCCTCAGCCATCTTCAGCTCTTCTCGGAGTCATGAGGTAAGAACCGACCGCTCCTTCTCTTTCTGCTTTTAACTCACATTTATCTCTTTTACCGTTTATATCCTCGGTTAACCCGGTCTGCCCCGGTCCTCCTGGGCTGAGTCGGCTCGGCTCGGCCCGGCAGCCAAACGCTGCGACCAGAGACAAAAGGAGCGGCTGTAGGGAGGGAGGCGGCCGGCGGTTC